CGTATCTGTAACCGGAAGGTTGCCGGTTCGATTCCCGGGCTCTCTGTCCTGGTCGTTGTGTCCTTGGGCAACAACCGTAGCTTGCCTCCACCAGTGTGTGAATGCGAGAGTGAATGAATAGTGGCATTGTAAAGTGCTTTGGGTGCCTTGAAAAGCACTATATAAATCCAATCTACTATTATTATTATTATTATTATTATGGTGCAGCTCCACCCTTCCAGCTATCCCTTAAACTGCCCTGAATGACTAATAGTACCTGGCTACAACGAGTCAGTCTAATTTGAATTAAGAAACACTTGATTAAAATTCTCATCACTATTCAGTAACATTTCTTTCAGCTGTGTTAAAGAATTCTCAGGACTTCAGTTTGAATATTATTATGAGTATTTATTAAGCAATCTCTTCAACCACAGTCAGGTTTATGGATTGAATAAGCCTCGAATGTGAGAGGAATACAGCTCTTAAAAATAAAACAAAACCAAAAAAAAAATCCCTAATGCGATTAATTTAAAATAAAAACACCATATCCTTATATACAAGAGGATGGGGTGGGCATGTGCAAGAGGTGCATGGGGTTTTGTGGGGCATGTATGATGGTGGGTTGGTACAATGGGAACATCTCTGAAGGTGGGGTAGAAAGGAGGGCGTGTTGGGGCTGGCTTTAGTACATGTAGCCTTTGGAGTAGGGCTGAGGGCCCATGTTTTGAGGGGCTTGTTCCGGGGTGTAAGGCACCCCCTCGTCCAGGTGCGACAGAGGCACTGTGTCCTCCTCGTTGACGTAGCGCTCGAACTCAGCCTTCAGGCTGGGTCGCTGATTGTCGGGGAAGGCCAGGGAGATTAGAGCCTCGGGCTCACAAACGAACTTGTAAACGTAGCGCTCCCCAGCCACCTAGAGAGAGAGAGGAGGATTATTTAAAATGAAATACGAATGTATTTGTAAACTAATATTTCACAGTTTCTGTAGCCTCTGAGGGCTGCAGAGACTAAGCACCCAGTATAAGAGAAAATTGGGAGATGTATATAAATATAAAAGTGCTGGAAATGTGTTATGTCCACTTTGACCAAGAACACCAAACTGTTTCCTTTTCTTTAGCTATCCAGCAAGACGAGTGCACAAGTATATTCCTATTCCAACTTTTTGTCTTAAGTTGTCACAGACAAATGCACAAGATGCCTTTTTGGAATATTGGGTGTGAGTTTATGTTCCTGTTTTTATGGAGCATCCAGTGTGGTGATATTTAGACTAAGGGCAAATCTCAAAACCAGCACCTCTCCAGCCTTTTACTGAGTGAAAACAAAGCAAATCGGTGTATTTGGTGTACTTGGACATGAATCCAGGGGTTCCTTTGCAAACATTCATACGTGACAAGTTGCAAGAGGTCTATTTTTTAATAACTTGCCAGTGCATCAGGCACTGACATTAAGGGCACTTTTGTGCATCTTTGACTGCCCTCTGACAACTGGAGGCGCTGTGCTGAAAACCTATGTGGGATTACTTTGGTTCCCAGTAGATTTATTGCTGGCTGCATTTTGTACCTTTTGCATGATTCCCTTCTCGTAGTAGTAGCGCAGAGAACGGCTGAGCTTGTCATAGTTCATGGCTGGACGGTTCTTCTGCATTCCCCACAGCCTGGCAACCTGAGAAAGAAGAAATAAATCAGTTAAAAACGTGTTTGCATGCTTTTAAATAGTGTAAAACACAACCTTCCTCAAATTACATTTCGAGAAGATCGAGTCTTTTTGCCCTAATAGTTGGACACAGGTAGTTAATTTCACAGGTTGCCCACTAGAGGGCCTCAGTAGCAAGCCAAACTTCCTTCTGCTATTAAATTCAACAGTGTCGACATGCCAAGATCAGGGCGAGTCCTCACATGTGGATTCACTTCCTTTTTATGTAACCATTACCACTTGAATGCAACCAGAGTCCCACAGTGTTTGCAGTGAAACAGGAGTCAGGGCGGGTTGTCGGGGGCAGGCCATAAAATACAGCCCAAAATTTGAACCCTGGGCTGATAAAGCAGCTCTGCCTCTTATAGAAAATGAATGCCTCACATTAAGCCCCACCCCCCACAAACAAGGGGATATAAATCAAGGACTTGTGCAACAGTGGATAAATTTTCTGTTGACAAACACCTTGGATGTAGGAAGAAACCGTAAAGCTTGGGATGGGGATGGGTGGGGGGGCATTGATATTCATGACTCAGGAAGACAGGTTGTATCCCACAGTGGCCCAGCAGCCCCGTTTGATCTCTGAGTGCGCTCTCAGCTCTAATTGCGCTTGTAAAACTCTTACCCCATTCATTTTTAATGTACAGTAAAAAGATAATGGAAAACACAATATAGGCCTGTGTGTATTAGGGCCCACCTAAATGGAGGCGCTCTGATATCCAATCAAACTGCAGACTTAAACATTGCAAAAATGTCTGGACTTAAGAAATGTGAGGAGGTGAGAGAGAACAGGGGTGTTGGATGTTTCTGTGATAGTGCTTGTCCTTCATTTATCAATCCAGTGCGTGTTGAATAATGTATGGGGGCCTAATGGAAGATGGATCAGAAAATAGGCCTATGAGGAAAGTGGCCAAATCCCCCTTCTCATTGCTGTAATCTAGGTAGCACCTTCAAACCCTCACTAAATTTATTTAAAGAGTATCCTTATCATATTAATGTCACAATCACTATCAGTGCTATCAGTGGACAAGGCCACACAGTAATGTGTTAAAAATAATGCATTTTATATCACAGTAGTCTTTTTTTCAAACATTTAAAGTGATATTGTTACTGCAGACAAAGCTCCAGTTAAACTAGAACTTTTTTTTAAAGTTACCCAACAAAGTGAGATGTGAGATCACATATGTCTGACACTCACTGGATATTAAAGTCTCTAGTACAAAGACTCTGCAGGTTATAGACCACTAAATCCACAGCAAGTCAATGGACATCTTGTTTCTGGCTTCCTTTGCTTTAAACCAAAGATGATTTCTAGTGGTGAGAATGCTTCTGAACCGGACTCCTGTTGTGTGCTGCATGCTGCTGACTTGATTTACCCAACATTTTACAAAGTTTACTCTCTGGCTACAAGTCTGAATTTACCTGCTAAGGAACTTAGCAAACTGAAACATAAAGATGTCTCTCTTAAGAGCTGGACAGCCTCTGCATCTGTGTATGGCCATTTTCAAAGATGCATTAAATCTAGTTTATTTATGTAGTGCTGTGCAACATCTTCTGCCTCAGGGTGCTTTAAGGTAAAGACCCTGCAACATTTGAGAGAGAATCCCAGGAATCAGACAACCCCCTCTGAACAAGCACTAGGTGACTGTGGGAAGGAAGAACTCCTGTTTAACAGGAAGAGGCCTGGAGCAGTGATCGAATGAGCTTCTGAAGGGTTGCCCCTGTACTTCTGTAAACAAAAGTGTAAAAGATGGACGTGACTACTGGACCTTAAAAAGTTTAGCAAGCATGGCTGTGCCTTAAACCTTTGTTCTTCGTAATGGCCAGCAGGGGGCGACTCTTCTTGTTTCAAAGAATTTCATTTTGTATTGAAGTTTTGGAAACAACCATGGACTCACTTTAACTGGGATGCCAGCGAACTCTTTCCTGATGATTTTATGGGCTTAGTCGTTAGTTTAAATCCATGTGACTACCGGTGATGGTGAAGGATACTGGTAATAGACATGTGATGTGGGAACTAGAGATGGACCAATCCGATGTTACGTATCAGTATCGGTCCGATACTGACGTAAATTACTGGATCGGATATCGGAGAAAAATAAAAAAATGTAATCCGATCCATTAAATATCAAAAAAGCACCTCACAAAACTTGCGACACAGCGTAACTCGGCTCATAACCGTAGCACGTTGCAGCAGTAGATTGATCAGTATTGCTGAACTATGAAATATTTTGGGTGCAGTGTATTTTTAGCATATAGGTATAACAGAATAGCTTTAGTGTTGTTGTTTAGTTAAACTTGAGTATGAACTTATACAAAATGCAGCAAGATATAAGAAAAAACTGTTTTATTGTTTAAAAAATACACTATATTGGATTCATATCGGTATCGTCAGATATCCAAATTTATGATATCGGTATCGGACATAAAAAAGTGGTATCGTGCCATCTCTAGTGGGAACTACACTACACTTTTCTAAGCAGCCAGATCCTGTCTGCTGGTTATAATCAACTGTCAAGTACAAAACAAGAAAAACGGGAAATGAGAGAATCGCTTTCGGTGTGGAAGCCCCTTAAGTTGGTTTGCAATTTATGGTCATTCTAATAGTTAGAAAGGATGATAATTCAGACTCTAACCAGAGTAGATAATGCCGTTTCAGTTACAAATCATTAGCCAATGAGTGTGTGGTTTCACAGTCTGATTCATCCCTCTGTTGTCAAATCGGGTTAAAATAGCAAGACCAGTGGGTGACATCATGATGGCTAGCCTGGTCGATTATAGCGCCTACAGACAACGCTTCCCCACCATCTTTGATTGAAGAAAAAAAAAAAAAGGTAGTTTCCAGTTCAGACTTACCTCTTCTGGTTCAATTAGTTTGAACTCCATGCCGCGCCCTGTCCAGGCGATGAAGTGGGCATTGCCTGGGTCATCCAGAAGGGCCACCAGGAACTGCCAGAGCTGCAAAGAGCCACGGCGCTGGTAAGGTGTACCCTCACGGAAAATACCACCCCCTTCCTGCTTCACCTCACCTGGACGAGGAATACAGAGGTACTCAGTATGTTTATAGGCGTCAAAGTGCTTTCCATCTATTACATGTAACCAGGAATTTAGAGATTTGTTGCCCCATGTGCACTGTGGTTTATCTCCAGCCAGTTAATGTGATAGTTGATATATTTTCAGCACATTAATGCATCCGACCATTAAGATTCAATCACTAAATTATGGTCTAAAGTACTTCTTGCTGTGCAAACAAGAACCATTTGACCCCTAACAGCCTAAAAGTGGTTTAATTCTAGTAGGATAAGTACATCCGTAGGTCATCTAATCTTGATTTTTTTTTTTCCATGTTTGCATACTGACGTAAACCCAAATCCCCATAAATGTCAGCTTGCAGCTAAAAAAGCCAGAGCATGTTGAACTAGAGGCAAATAGAGATAAAAGTAAGGGGCAGTACAGGGCAAAAAGAAAGAAATGAAGCTTACTACTTAGTAAGGTAAATGGACACTGATTGGTGTTTGGTTCTCGGTTGTTTACCAGGTACTTGATATGTTGTACACAGGTGTTGGAACACGAGATGCACAGCTAAGTTACTGCTGTCGTCTCTCAGAGAACTTGCACACTTGACTGGTTCAACGAGTGCTGACGGCCTCAGGCTTTTCACTCAATCTCCCTTAGCATCAATAACCAACAACACCATGGGAAAAGCTTGTTTCTGTGACAGAGGAGCCCTGCCTGGAGGGTACAAGGAAACCAAACCCACTAACTCAGTTTCTGAGGACACCGGGATCCTTCTGATGTGTGTATAATATGATAGACAGTAGTATAGTAGTTCCCAACTTTTTTTTTTTTGTACTATGATGTACCTCGGTTTCCAGCAGTTTCATTTTCTGCAACCACCATGACCCCACATTAACCAATTAGCATGCAGATAAAATGGGAAAAATTGGCTTCTGTGTAAGAAAAACTAGACGTTGTTTTAGTCCATGCTGTCAGTACACTGTGAACATTAAAATGACGTGTAAATAATAATTATTGCTGCTCTGTTCACTTCGATTCTAAAGTGCAGTTCACTTTCTGCAGCAAATTGCAAATGTATACAACTTTCTTGCTTTTTGACCGTCATTAAACGCATTTCTTTTTCGTCTGCTTAACCATTTACTTCTTCTTTTTTTTTTTAAATAAACCATTAACCTTTCTGCTCAAACTTGTTAAGGTTCACTAAAATTGTAATAGTCGAGTTAATCCTTTCATGTCCCCCCCACAGCGACTGTAGTGATACCCTTGGGGTACTTTTACTTCTGGCAGAGAATCAGTCATGTAAGAGATTGAAGTAAGTGACTGTGTTTCCTGTGATTTTCTTTTCTTCCTGTTGTCACTAAGTAACACCTGTGTGCTGTGCATTTGAAGTTGTGTGTGCATGCAGAGGGGATATGTGGTAAGCAGGCTCACCTTCGAACTTCTCTGGAACCACACGGGAGTCATTTTCAAACAGATAGCCTAAGAGAGAAGGGGGGAGAATTGTGTCAGTATTTCAAATGGCCTTCATCCTGGCACAACAAGGTTGTTCATCTGGAACCAGTGGCAAGCTTTAAATATTGTTCAACCAAAATAACTCACAGCATTAATGCCCTTTTAGTATACTAGACCTGTGATATCTTATATGCTTAGTGCATCTGAATGAGATTTCAAATTGCCGAAAATGGTCTTGCAAACAATGGTAAAGAAGGGAGGGCTTGTTTTCCTTTTTGCTGGGGAAATAGTGTGCTTTTTCTAGGACTTATGTTTATTCAGGGATTCTTGAGGCAGGGGTGAGGCGAGAGCCTCTGCCAATGGAAACAGACACACCACTGGTTGGCCAATGGAAGCACGCACACTCTAGGCCGGTTAGCCAATGACCGCAGACCTCTAACCAGAGTAGATAAAGCTTTTGAGACAGGGCAGATTGGGTACATGCAATTTCTGTATACTGACATCACTTAAATTCCTTTAACTCCATAATAACATTTACTGGAGGCCTTTAAAGGGCATTATTGCAGTAGAATGCAAACCATTCACATTACCTTCATTGCCATGCTGGGGGTTTGGGTAGCCCTCATTGTGGTGGTAAATAGAGGGACATCCAGGCACATCTGTAACAGAAACACCGAACTACAGGTTAACAAATTGAACTGACATTTAGATTATGGCATAAAGTGTCATTTAGAAATCCCTGTAAGGTGTCAAGTCAAATTAAAATGCAAGGATGGCTGCTAATGTGCTTTCCTAAGCACTACCTGTTTGAGAAAAGTGGGTGTATTAGCTGGATTTAGTGGGATCATTGTGACCTGCAAGGGCAAATGCTGCATTTATCATATCACTTCTCTTGTCCCTGGTGGTATTTTTAGGCCGTGAGCAAGCACCTGCACCAGACCAGAAAAGTGGTACAGTATACAGTGTCTGCTCTTTGTCTGGGCACATCGTTGGCTCGCTAAAATCACAGATATAGATTTTACACTGCTCCTCATAAACCTTCCGGCAAAATTCTCTGCAAGTTGGGACAGTTGTAAAGTGCATTTCACATGTAATGTGAGAATATTGTTTTCCATTTCCTGTGACCGAGCCACTAACCTTTGTCTGTGTGTTTTTTCTCTTTCTTTGGCTAAGCATACAAAAAAAAAAGGTGACTCATTGCCTATTATAAGAGCTTGTTTGTCTGTTTTTTACAGTCTGTCAACTGTATCAATGAGCCAAGCAAGTGCATAAAACTGAAAGGTGCAGCTCTTTGCCTCTGGCTCTGACCGTGACTCACTCCTGGGGAATGCAGCTGCAGCTCTGCGACTGTGATAAGATGCTACTGGGGAAAATCAAACCTCCATTCCAGGGCAGCGACGCTCGATCATACTGTAAATAATATGTCTGCCAGAGATGGCAGGCTCTCACCAGGGATTGATGGGCAGACTGGGTGTGAGAGCACTGGGGTTAATTGTCTGCTCCGTGGCATGACCATTCTGCGTCTTTGATTCAACACAATAGCAGTGATTAAGCGATGGAATGCCAATTTGTATGTGAAACTACGAGTCTCATTATCTACCCGGCTTTTAAAATGAGACTGTATACTTGCGGCATTTGACTGTCATTGTTCACATTGTGCAGCGTGCAAGAAAACACTGGTGGTGTTTTTTTTATTACTCTTTCCATTACGCGCTTCTGACATCAAACTTTTGGGATATAATTTCTTACAGTGACACTGTAATTCAGGAGAAAATAACAAATCACTGAAGGAAAGTATGTTTTCAGACCTGCCTGCATGTATGCAACCTTGCAGATGTTGCGGCTGGCATGGCTGGGTTGAAAACCTCAGTATATGATCAAGTTGCCTTTCAACTGCATTTTGTTGATATATCAGTGCAGAAGCTCAATGATTCCCTGATTATATGGGAGGACATGTTGTGTAGGAGACTACTGCAGTGAGTACAAGTGACCTCAGTGCCACAGATGGCTCACGATACAACCAAAAGAGGTGACCAAAGTAGACTTCTAAGGCTAAGGTGAATTTTACACAGGGCACAGCCATACGTTTGGCCGAATTGAACCCTTTGGCAGGCTGCTGGTTTTTGTATGCTGCACATTAAGAAGCTCAAGGAGATCGATCTACAAGTATGTAGTATGTACTACTTGATCACTTAAAAAAGAAAAAAAAAAAAGAAAAAAAAAAAGGCAATAACAACTGTCCTCAATCATTGCTTAGGATATTTTTGGGATTAGGTTTCTATCAGGTAAATGGATGCTATTAACCATACGTGAAGACTCCAATACAGATTATTGGTCAGCCGCCAAAAAGAAACATCATTTTCCATTTAAGTGTTTGCAAAATGCTTTTGGATTTTTATTGACATGTTAAAAAAAAGGTTCTTTTAGACCAGCGGTCCCCAACCTTTTTTGAGCCACGGACCGGTTTAATGACAAACAGTATTTTCACGGACTGACTTTTAAGGTGTCGCGGAACAAAATAAAATGATACGACCAAGACAAAAACTGTGGTATTTTGTAAATATAATAACAAACGTGAATTCTCTGTGTAATTGTGTAACTTTATTAGCAGCGTCCTCCTGAAGTGCGCCAACAACATTGAGAGTAACATCCTCCTCTCTGCCCCTTAGCGCTCTATGGTTGCTATGGTAACGTGTAAATATTTATTTCAAAATAAGACACACAACTACAACAGGGGAAAAGACCCAGGGAAAATAAGTTAACTACAAAAAACCTGAAAACTATAAATTTCACACCCGAGCCACAACTCTCACGGCCCGGTACTGATCCGTGGCCCGGGGGTTGGGGACCGCTGTTTTAGACCACCTGAGATCCAGTGACTGACTTTTCAATACAGACGTTAAACACTGCTCAGTAAGAGAGAGAGAGAGAGAACATGTCCTTGAGTGCAGAAATTTTACTGGTAATCACATCCAAGTTTTAGGCCCCTGTCACTTTCTATTATCCTGCACACAGTCCAGTCACTTGTTGTATAATCGTCTACAAAAATAATGATAAACTTTGATCTTTCATGTCAGATCAGCCTCTGGATTGGTTAAAACCCATATCAGAGAGAGTCTTTTAAGGAAACCCCACCAAATAAAACTTGCTCCTCCACCTAGCAGTTATCCACAGAAAAACATCCTTTGGTACTTTCCCCCATTTCTTTCTCAAGGTTGTGTGACCCTTGTCATTGTTACTGTAAAAACAGCAAGTCAAAACAGTCTTAAATTCTGTTTTCTTTGGATTTCAGCCGTTTTCAGCACATGTGCACCGCTGTCAGCCCTTTAGCCATTTTAATACAGGTGAACGATGATGCTAAGTGTTACTTTTCTTGCTCGTTTTAGATTCAGGAAGAAGCCAACAGAAGAGCTACTTTGTATACTCGCTGCTGGTAGTGCTTGTTGTTAAAGTGCCTGAGCTGGCTACCCCACCCCTTACCTCCCCCCATTACCCTTCCACTCCCTCCCCTCACCCACTCCCAAAGCCCGGCCAGTGAGAGGTTCGAGTTACTGTGGCCACGCTCATTTTTCCATTATGAGTTCATCTGCCTGCAGAAAAAGGAAGCCGCTGGTGCAACATGAAACCCTGGAGCACTCCACCGGGGACTCTAGTCTTTCCAGTGCCCTCCATTTTCTCAATGAAATTCCTCTGCCTCTCTCTCACAGAGAGCGGTGGAGGGAGGGAGCGGGATAAGGAAGGAGGGAGGGAGGGGTGTAGCTACAGCAGAAAAAAACATTTTTTTTCTCCCTTTTCACTGCAAAGTGTCAGAGGGTTGAAAGGAGGAGTTTTGGAGGCTAAGAGGGAGTTGAGTAGGAGTGCAGATACAGTGAAGAAGTTTGTTTGCCTTTTGGACATTTTGTTCTAGAGTAAGCAATGTACACAGGGGAGGGTTTTCAACCCATTGATTCGCAAGCAGTCTAACAAGGAGAAATGCTCTATATTTGCTGTTTTGAGTCCCTCACATGCTTTTTTCCTCTAATATGACCATTAACTGGTTGTGAACTATTTTCTGGACCAAAAGACAAAAAAGATTAGGACATGCCACCCAGGTCTTGGAAATTAACTCTTCAATTGTGTCTTTTGGCTCATGCGTAGAAAAAGAAAACACAGTTGTGTCCATGCCAAACAGAGTTATAATCTCCCATTAAAAAAACAAAAGCACTGTATCATTGTGCCTGCAATGCCTTGTTTGCAGAGAATGCTTTGTATATGTTCCTTATCTCCGTCACTATGTAACATACTGGCACAATGTGTCTCACTTTCCCATCTGTTTCCTTCTCTCCTAATCTCTGTGGTCACATCCACTGCATTTCAAGATGGATAAAGTCCCAAATAAAGCTTTTCTCTTCTTTTACATATTTTTCAGTTGAATTTGTTAAACAGTGGAACAAATCTGACTAAAGCAGCTGTTACTTTCAAGTCATTTTTTAGTCCACGGCACTGCTTAAGTCCTGAACATTGACATCTTCTACTTGGATCACTTAGATGAAAAGTTGGAGATGTCAGAATGTCTTAGTGTTGCTAAAATGTTTTTGTTAGCAGAGAAAGTGCTTAAACAGTGTTGTCCTGTTTTTGCCACCTGACCAATCAGAGCAGATTTGTCTTTACTGGTGGTCCTTGGACAGGAGCTAAAACGATGCGTTTCAGACAGATGAGTGTCTTTATTGCTCACCTGGTTCATAGGTGTAATCTGTGGGCTCCTGCTTGACCATCATGTGGGCTGGTGGGAACCGATGTGGGTGCGAGTGTAACTGTGGGTGTTGGTGTGGTCCATGGCCATGGTTGTGTCCGTGTCCATGCCCGAGTCCCTGTCCACTCACGTGACCCGGCCCCGCCATATGGGCTGCCCGCTCATACAGTGGGTCCATGTATTCTTGCTTAAAGCTTTGCTGCAGGTAAGGCATGCAGGGGTCAGAGTGCTGCCGATGG